AGTCCCGCTTTTTTACAAAATTGATGAGTGGTCTGAGACTTCTATCCTTTTTGATAGATGCGGCGATGAACTTGATCCCCAGAAACTTCTGTAATCATTTCCAGAATAACGGTGTGTCTTCTTCCATCTCTGTCATTGTCGTTTGATTTACTGTAGCCACTATCCCCTCTGTTATCTCGTGATGGCTAGCTTCTAGTTGTGTATTCGTCATTGCGGGCGGTTCCTCATTTCGGCCACTTTCCTCCCGGCTTGCAATGTGGTGGTTTATTCTACTCACATATTGATCCTGCATTTCTGTCCGACCCTCCCTTTTGTCATTTTGAGTCAGCGCAAACAATTTGCAGTTGTCCGTCTGTACCGCTTGCGTCATTCGTTTTTTTGAGTTTTTGTTGTCTCTCTGATTTCGTAGTTTCTGTGTCAAAAGTTATTTGTGGGAAGTTTTTAGCTGGTGGCCTCGAGCAAAGTAGTTCTCTTGCGTCCTTGACGTTTCTTATTGATGATGTAGATGTGGTGGTTGTTGACTTTTTTTTGTAATTTGTGGTCGCTTGTGCCACCGAGGATCTGATAAGCTCTCCACTCTGTCCGACGTCCCTTGCCACTTGGTCAGTTTTCCTCCTTTCTGCCACGTGGTGTCAGCAACTTTACTTCGTCTGGAATGAACCGGCCTTTGTAATTTTTTAAATCTTGTTTTCTGCTAACTTTTTGTGTTCTGTTTATTTTGACGAAGTTTGTTGAATTTTCCGACGATATGATTGTTTTATGAAAATGTGATTTTTCTTTTGAGATTTTTTTCGAGGCAGAGCTGACTGAATTGCAGAATGATTCGAGCAGAACTGACTTAGTTCAGGTGTTTGCAATTGACCGTTTGCGGAATTTTTGGCAGTTTGCGTATGCGAGTTAGCGTTTGAAATGTTAATTGTTATCCTTTTATTTTCCGCACGCTTTTTGATCAGCTGATGTAGTGCCATATTTTGATTGGCTAATTTATAAAGAATGACGTCAAAATGAAATGCAATTAGGCGATCAATCCATCTGGTTAATCTGCTTTGACTGGTTTTTGACCTCTTGCTTGCATTTAAAGCGCCGATCAAAGCTTGATGATCTGTGATGACGGTGCGCACAGATAGTATTTGTAGTGTTCAATGGCCCACCACACTACTCCGAGTATTTCGAGTTCATTGACTGAATGTTTTTCTCAAGGGAATTTAAAAATCGTGATGCGTTAGCTATTGCTATCCAGCCTTCTGATGAATATTGTTTTTCGATTGCCTCTGCTTTTCTTATTAATGGTATAGTGCCCTCGCTGTTTATCGTGTACCCTAGCCACTCAACTTGTTTACGAGCAAACCTACATTTGTCTAATGATATGGCAAGATTTTCTCCATCTGATCTTTCCAGAATCGCTTGTAGTTTTTGTTTATGCATGTCAATCGACCCCTTCTTCACGATCAATATGTCGTCTAAGTATGCGTAGATGTTTTGACAATTTGTAAGAGTTAGGTCGATGGCCTTTTGAAATTCAGCTGGCATATCCGTTTGGCCGTAAAATCCTGTTTGAAATTGGTAAGTGCCGGTGGCATTGCCACCAATTAGGCTGAAGTTGCATTGTTCACGAGTTGGTTTGTCTGGTGGGATTTGTGAATACGCGTATCGCAAACCCAATGTTGAGAATAGGGTTTGTTGTTTGTTGTTTGATCTCACCACTTGTGCAATATTGTCTAACAGTAATTCTATATTAGGCATCTGAAAATTATTCATGTGATTAAATTTATTTATCTTTTTCGAGTCTAGAGCCAATTTCATCGTCTGGTCTTTTTTACGATAATCACGATTGGACTGATGAATTGTCGATCTGAGCATTTATCAAGTTTTATTATGTGTTTTTGACCCATAAGTTTATTGAGTTCTTTTTCTACTCGTTCTTGTAGTTGAATTGGGTTACGTCGTCCCTTCTGCTGTATCGGGATAAAATCTCTTCTGAAATATGTTCGCATTACGTGGTTTTTTGACTTTCCTACACGAGTGCATAGTTGTGGATAGCAGTCTTTGACCCATTGTTTGATTTCGGGGTTTGAATCTTCTTGTTCGCGTATTTTAAGTACGTCCCCTTGTTTTTGTTTTTCTTGTACTAATTTTTATTCCAATATGTGGTAGGCTATTTCTGCCTATGATGTTAGCTTTCTGATTATCGACAATGATGAATGGGGCAGCTCTTAATTTCCTACCAACTGACTCAATTGCCACAATCACTCTTCCTTTCGGAGTAATTTTTTTTTCCGCCATTGTAACATGCTAAATTCCGAGCTGTATCGCCTGGTGAAATTTGTTTAAATACTGTGGATTTGTCATTATCTTGTCATCGCCGAGCTGTTTTTTCGTTTAGAAACGACATTGGGCTTCCGGAATCAGCTATTGTGAATAAGTCTTCCATTTTTGTTTTCAGTTTAATTATGTGCCAATTTAAATCATCCTCGGACATACTTGTTGTGTTTTTTACTTCAAATGCCTCCGATATTGCCAATACTGAAACATTATTGACGTGATATTCTTCCCAACTATCTTTAGATGTAAAATCGGCAAAAGCGACTGGATCGAGTTCTGTTTCCTGACTCTCGGATTCAATTTCTCCTTGATACTCTTGATTCTTGCGGCCTCCCATATAATTAACATTTCCTGAGCAACACACTTTAGCAAAATGGCCCTGTTTGGCGCATTTTAAACAAATTTTTTTCTTTGCAGGACATGATTGTTAGTGTTTTTGTCCAAATGATTACCAACTTTTTAGCAATGTTTTTAAGTGTTTGGGTATGGATTCCTTTGTTGTTGCGACTGACCTCTTGCATTTTGTTGTCCTCGAGGATATACAAGGCCTCGAAAAGTTCCACGACTTCTTTGAGATGACTGATTATTCGCAATAATATTTCGTCCCCGTGTATTAATATAATTTACTGGTTCCTGTTTTTTTGTTGTTGCTTGATTTCCGAACGGATTTGTTTTCATTGTGCGACTATGTTCGATGCCCTTTTTCCTGCGTAACTGTGTTACGCAGGAAAAAGTGTGTTACTCATACGCGTCTCGTGGGCTTCTCGTTTGGGCAAGTATTCTTCGGCTATTTTTTTTCATTTTGTATGTGTGCAGTGAACATGTCTCGTACCCACTCGTCCTCTCGGTCCCCACAATCAGCTCTTGAGGCCAACTCAACTAGATCAGCGTGAAATTGTTCCAGACTCTCCGTTTTCTTTTGTTTTTTGCATATGAAATTTAATCTCTCGAACGCAACAGTTCTGGTTGTCACGAAGATATCTTCTAGAGGCGTAATTAGCTCTCTTGTTGTTATCTGTGTAGAACTAGTCCTAGACGTTTTTGCTGAACTTGACGCTGGCCCTCGGCTCCCAAGCAAAGAAAAATGTAGCTCCGCACTTTAGCGTCAGCTTCGTCCCACCGGAAAGAATTGCATAAGACCCTTTTTTCTCGGGCTTTTTACACATGGTTTTAACACCCAACCGACTCTCTTTTCCTGGTTGCGGAACTCCCGGTTTTTCGTTTGAGCTTCTGTTTCTCCAGTTATCTCGACCTCGGTTCCGTGGGCTCGACGAGCGGTGGTTTAATTCTTTATAAGTTTCCTATTTCTATCCCATCTTTGGCAAATATTGCCATTTCGAATATTGCTGCCCACTTCGACCACTCCAATGGTGGCTCGGCTGAGGCTTTCTCCCAAAATGGGTTAATATTCAGCGGGTTTTTCGAAAGTATGGACGTGAGTATATAGAATCCGAACGGATTGATAAACGTAATCTTGATGCGAGTCAGATAAAACAGCTGTCTTGAAGAAACATAAATTAGCATCGGAGCTCTTGCTCATAATCTTAAGTCGGCCTGCAGCCGTACCAAGGTCAACTGACCAGTTAATATATAAATATGTTAATCAAATAAATAGATAGCACCGATGATGAGTTTATCTATCCGTACCGGATGACAGGTGAGCAAGAAACGGCTGTCGATAAAGCGCAAAAGGGGCACGCAGCCTTATACAGAAGCAGTAACTTGTCACTAATCTAATTCTACCGGATTGTGAGTAGTATTTATTATGAACCACCACCGAACTCAGTATGAAAAGGATTTTAATTATGCGTAGAGAGACTGAGACGATTGGAGAATAAATACCTGAAAATTATTTGATATACAGCCAAAAAAATTAGCTGAAATATAACCATGTCTCAAAGTAGCTTCTTTGCTAGTTTTCAAATGACTCCATCAATCGCGTTTTTGTCTAGTGAGAATATTTGCTCAAAGTTTTTCTGTTTGAGCACAGAAAAGTGAGATTACAAGAGTGAATAAGTATGCATAATACTGAAAGACAAAGTAGAACATTTTCATTAGATTAATTTTTTTTCTCTCGGCGCCATTTTTGACATTTTTCTCTGCCCATGACTTTATTCTACAATTCTATTGAACCATGGTTACTTACCAGCAAATACTAGATTTATTACCTAACAAACTTCTGTTTTATTTCACAGCTTATCGAAAAAGGATTCATTTAATTAATAGGCAGGCAGTAGTGTTTGTTTCAAGGACAGCAAGCAGTCTGAAGTTATAGACACCAGGGCTCAAAAGATATTTCACCTCGGATCATGTTTCGCGAAGTTAGAGTTTGGCCTGATTTAAACTGCAAAACTTCACACAAACTCGAAAATTTTGCGAAACGAAATTGACCTAGTATGAAAAAGTCAAATCTAGCATAAATAATTCTTTACTCGAATGAAGGAACCACAATGATACTTCAATGTCCCCTGCACGCGTCTAAAATGAATTTAAAAAAATTAATTTGGAGCGTTGTTACAAAATATGATCAAATGTTGCACGGCGAGCAAATCAAAAATACTGAACAAATTAGTTCGCTCTGAAATGTCCTATTAGAAAACTTGAATATATACTTTTTTGATATTAAATAATAGAAATTTTTTTCTGAGAACATTTTTCTGAGATTTTTTTAACCAACAATAAAAGCATTCAACTATTTTTTTAATGCAAAAGGTAGAAGCACAGTGTTGAAATATGACTAGACGTGTAATAGTTTTCTATCAAAAATAAAGTGCTGAGTTGATTGTTTTAAATTGCAGCCGCCACTATTGAACACTTTGGAATAAGTTACTGAACAGGACAGGTGGAATTAGTGAACTGTCGCCGCTTGCACTCTTTCTCCACCTCTATGAAAACTTTCCTTCCGATTCCAGTGTCGTTGAACGACTCGAACTCGATTCGCGTCATCAGCTCCGCTCTCATGTCGTTCTCTTTCCTGAGTCGTGCCAATTCGTTGTCCTCGAATATCTTCAGCTGGTTCAGATCTCGCTGGTACTTCAGTGCATTACTTTCCTCCTGGCGCCTCGCGTGATGGCACGTCAGCATGGCCGAATCAAACGACTTGCCGACACTGTTTAAGTTCTCGATGATGTCGCTGAGAATTTTGCGGCGCTGGTCCTGTTTGACTTGTTCTGAGGACTCGCAAGGGTTCACTAGCCATGCCACTTTGGTGGACTGGTTCACTGCGTTTTGGAACACCTTCGGCAGCTTCTCAGTTAGATCATCAGGCGCTGTGATGTCCGATCTGAATAATATGATATTTTTTGATAACCAAAATTGCATGATAAAGTAAATGCAATCTTTCTCAGTTTCATTCGAGTTAATTGCCTTTTTGCTATCTAAGGGCGTGAGAAAAAGAGAAACCTTAGTATACTTAAAATTCGGGTTATAGCCAGAGGAAAACCTTGGACTTTCTGCCAGGAACTTAAAGAGTCCAGGCCAATCCCAGGCCAATCCCAGGAATCCTGCCAGGAAGTCCAAAAAAAGTTCTTTGAAAGCCGGGCATGGACACCTGCCTGCTAGGCACCCTACCAAGAAATCCAAAAAATCAAAAGTTTTTCTCACAAAAATTTTCGTTAAATTTTTAGACGCTGCAGTCATTTTTAGGCTGACAAAATCAATTTCAGAAAAAAAGAGCATGCAAAAATGTTTTTTTTTTTTGGCGTATAAGGTATTCCAACCTTAATTTTTCACACAAAAAACCTAAAGTAAAATTAAATGTTTAGTATGAAGCCGTAATTAATTTAGTTGTCTTTTCCAAATGGTATGACGAGCTTAAATAAGACAGGAAAGCATTTTCAAACTTTTCAAAGACCGGTTTTTTTGAGGTAGAATCAATCTAGCCAAATAAAAAATTCAGTTTTGCAATCATAAATCTGTCAAAACTTCAAACTTACTATCAGTGGAGAATCTACAAATGCAATTTTACAGCGAGGTTCTGACAATTTACCTATGGGCTTCCTTAGAAGAGAACAATCTTTCGGTTGTTTTGTTTTCGGTCAGGAGCATAAAATTTTACAATTTTGCAAATTCAACTAAACAAAACAGGGAAGTCTAAACGTGGACTCTTAGACAACTCCAGGAAGTCCAGGGCAATTCCAGCAAGACTTAGACATGATTTTTACCCTGGCCAGGCCTGGCTACAGGGATGGACTCCCATGAACAGGTAGCCCGGGACCTTTAAAAGATCTTGCCAAGGAATGAAAACCTTGCTAGAATCCAAAAAGAATCTTGCAAAATTTGTATTCTCAATTTGGTAGACTAATCTTGCAAGAGTCTGCTTACAAAATAAAAATTGCAAGAGTAATGTCTTTGGGGCAAAAAATTATATCATATGCAGTGAAAAGGTATTTTATGATAATACAATTTATGTCATGCAGGTAAAAAAGGTTTTGTGAAGTCAAAAAAACTATTCAAGCGGACTTGTTTTAATCTACTATTTAAATTTTTGGCATTGGTTTGAATTCTGAAATAAATCCCACAAGCTGCTTTCAGTCTCGCACTGATAATAAGTTCTGAAACTGTTTAGACGACATAAGATGATTCATTGACCTTTCCATCTGAATAGTGCCCTTTCAGAAGATCTAGTTAAAATCAAATCTGGACATCGAAAATTCATACATATTTCATATCTTTATCAGTCCTATGGCATGCCTCTTTTTTTCTGTACATGTCTGAACCAGACATTTACAGACATGATAACTATTGAAAAGTCAGATATGATCAGATCTGAATTATACCTGGGACAGGCCTGATCATATCTGCACCAGACCTGAAGCAGACATGATCTTACCTGACTTTACTTGATCGTACCGGGACCAGACATGCTCTACTTGACTTTACATGATCATACCTGGATCAGACATGACCATGCCTGAAATTACGTCATCATATCTTGAGCAGATATGATCATACCTGACTTTACATGATCATACCTGAACCAGACATGATCATGTCTGAAATTACATAATCAGACCTGGACCAGACATGATCTTATCTGACTTTACATGATCTTACCTGGATCAGACCAGACATGATCATGCGTGAAGTTACATGATCAGACCTGGAGCAGACATGATCATACCTGTCTTTACATGATCATGCCTGGACCAGACATGATCATGCCTGAAATTACATGATCATACTTTGAGCAAATAAGATCATAACTAAAGGAAAGGTGAGTAGTGTGAACTTATTTCTTAACACCCTTATCACCGGGGATCTAACTGCTACCCCTAACACTCTTCATTATAAATCTGATTTATTAAATCAAAGCATTTTAAATTATCTGAAAACTCATTAAAAACAGAAATGCGTCTAATTAACAAAGCTTCGATAATAAGTGCGATAAGTGGTTTCAAAGCTGAACAGAAAGTTATTAAGCATCGGACAAGTTCTTCGTTCGAAACTACACAATGAAAAATTGCGAACTCAGTTTGTTTGGTGTTTGATTTGAATCAGCAAATGTTTTTCTTGAGGCAGAAAAATTATTACTAGATTATCTGTGAATCATCCATTTCAAAGGTATTTGAAATCCAGCATTCACAATAAACCATAACAAGACACGTGACAAAACTTCAATTTCTGTTCGAAAAATAATTTTGAAAAAAATGACTTTTTATTCGTTTTTCAGAATAGAATATACGGTTTATTTTCTTGCGAAAGAAAAAAAATGCCATTTCTGTACAAAAAACATGTCATTTCTTTGTCTCTGGAATTATCAACTGTCACTATCTCTTCTATAACATGTTAAATTTGATAACGTCTGTCTCAGGTTTAGTCATGTCTGACCAGATATAGTCATGTTTGACCAGGTATAGTCATGTCTGACCAGGTAATGTCATGTCTGACGAGGTATAGTCATCTCTGACAATTTTATGATCAGACGTGAGTTTGTGAGAAAAGTTCGGTACGGGTGCTCCAATTTTGACGTTTCTTCAGCAGTTTTTATTTAACATTCTTGCAACTACTCAATTGAATTTTTTTATTCTCGATGATTTTCAATTCTTCTCTGGTGTCTTACGTATCGCTTTTCAAAAGTTTTAGTAGATTGATTTGCGATAGTTGCAGAGACACTGGTTCCACTTACTGAACTTTGAAATTTTTTTACCGATATCTTTTTACGAAATATTTGAGGATTTTCGACTGCTTCTTGATAGCTTCGACTAAAAATCAGTGTGAATAAATTTTGCTATTCTCAAAGCTATACAGATACCTTCATTTCTTTCGAACTTCAAAACATTCTCTCGAGGACGCTATTCATATTATGAAAAATTGACTTTTTTGTTGATTCTTGTAGCTCCGATCGATTTTCTTTTCAGAAAAAATGTCCCATAAGGCTATTAAAGGCTATTGCAATAAGAAATTCTTGACAAATTGCATGTTGAATCAGATAGCTCTGATAGGTTCGGAGACAGTAAAAGCATCCAACCACGCAATTACAACTAACAAAAGCTGAGAACAACATCGAGATTTTTCGGCGACTTCAACTGTTTTTCAATACGGTAGTTATATAAATTATTCAATCAAATTTGAATTTATTTTACAGCATCGAATAATTTGCGACTATTTCTGCAGCTATCCTATTATTTTTGAAATTATATTTGGTTGTTTTCGATAGCTTCAATTAATTCGAGAAAATTGTTTTGTGCTTTCGAAAAAGTTAATCAAGTGGATACAAAATTTTTCCCAAAAACAGCTTTTTGAAGCTAAAATAATTTTTCATTGAACTTAAAAAATTTATGAAATTGATATTTGTAAGAAATAACTTCAAAAAACACCAAAATATTTTCCGAAGAAGTTATTCAAAGGAAAAATTTAAATCGTGATTCATCAAGTCTGTTTTATTAAGCTAACTGATTTGCATAAAAAGTAAAACTCACAGGTACAAACTTGCTCACATCTTGACAAAAGATAAGCAAATGATAAAAAGGTTCCATGTGTTTTTGATAGTTTCCCGGAAAATCATTGGTGAATTTTGTGTTTTAGAACACAATAGAAAAATGTTGGGGGAAAATCGAAATATCATATTTTTTTTAATTGTGGAAATATTGCTATTCAAGCGATTTTCATGTATGGAAAACTTTTTATCATAAAGATTTCATATAAATTTTTGTTTGTAAAACATTTTATGGCGAGAAAATTGTCATATATCATATATGGAAATTGTATGATTAGAAATTTCGTTCGACTCAGGTTCTATTGACTTGCCAGAAATTTTAGCGCCGATTTTCGAAGAAAACGGAATATTTACGCTCGCTGTGGTTTTTTATTCAGTCAATTTTCGCCGATCGAAATAATAGTTTTCGACAAAGTATTTTTATACCCCATTATTGAAGATACCGACTTCCTGAGCTCAGATGTAAAAGATATTTTACCTGCGAATATTTTTTGTAAAGTTCTGGGGATTTGAAAATTGTCGAATTGGCCATCTTCTGGACTAAATTATGCTCGCTTTGAAGAATTTATTCATATTGCTGAGAGCGTAACGCAAATTATTTATGCTTGGCGAATTATCCCGCACAACAAAATTGTTCCAAATTGAATTGAGGCTATCTAATCGGATCGTATTAAATTCGTTCGACTCGAAAATTCACACTTTGATTTTGTCCAAAATTTACAAGTTTTCATTTTTTTTCTCAAAAACTATTCGATATGAAATAAAGTAGAGTCGGAGCATTCAGGGTTTTGCCCTGACATACGAGCAATCTTGTTTCTTTAGTTCAGCAATCTTAGCGATGGAAATATGTGTTCACGCAATATGTGTTTAGTCAAGAAACTAATTCAATCAATGAAATGTAAAAAATTATTTTGGCGATGAAATTTTTCTCAAGTTGAGTTGGATAGCTTGATTGATTTGCAAATAATATGGGTTTTTTAATTATTGTTCCGTAGCAAGTTTCATCCAATTAGCAAAAACAAGAAACTCCGAGAAGGCTATTAAAACAATGAAAATTCGATATATTTTCATTTCTTTTAACAGCTTAATTTTAAACTAAAAAAAGTTTCATCATTTGAATGGCTTGCTTTAAAAACATTAAATTTTGCTAAACGAATCAAGCTATCAAAACGTGATCCTTTTAATAGCTTACACCAGGGCGGATTTAGGGGGGGGGACGCCCCTCTCCCACAGGTATTCGACTCCCTGCCGTCCCAAAGGGCCCCCCTTTGTACTATTTTCAGATATCCGCTTTTGGTAACGGTCCCTACAATTTTCTAAAAAGGTCTTCCGCGCCAATTTATACTAATTTGAGGGAGAAGCGCGCGCAAAAAAAACCGCGATTTTTTGGTCAACATTTTCCAAAAAAAATGCCAAAAAACGCCTTTTTTGACCGGTTTTTCAAAATTTTGCCTGCGGCACAGAAGTTTTGGCCAAAAAATGGTGTCTATAGTGCTTTGGGAGAGCTAGGAAACTCAATTTGGTCGACCTAAAAAAAATATAGACGAAATTTTCGATTTTTTTTGAAAATCCGCCCCCCCCCCCCCCCCCCCTCGAGAAAATCCTAGATCCGCCCGGCTTACACGCTTTGCTTTCCAAGTCGAAAATGCTCAATCAAGAATTGACAAATACTATATAGCCACGGCGATTTATTTGTAAAATTTAGCTATATTTCGTATTTGTAATATGTGTATTATTTGTGATATATTCTGCTCTCTGTACCTGTAGCTGTTGAGCAGGAAGAAGGTGTATTTGAGCATGTATTTGCTGAAGAAGAGACTCATCTCCCCCAGAATGAGGGCGTCGTCTTCAGTGAGGGTCTGGTCGTAGGGGAGGACGAATATGAAGGCATGCAGTCCCCCCGGCAGACTGTACACCACCTGACTCATCGCGCTCAGACACTCCTGGGGGTCTGCCTCGAAGTCGAACAGTCCCGGGGTGTCGATGATGCGCAGGGTCCCACTGCCCGCACTTCGGAACTTCACCTGAATACAACCAGGCAATTGTCTTTTTTTTCTATAAAATAATAAAAATGTCAAATTGCTCGTTTCCGTTCAAGCTTTAAAGTCTTACGGCGCCGGCGTTTGCCGATACATTCAATCAGATGCTTAGCAAAATGAACATTTAGCAAAATAGCAAATTTTAGTCCGAAAGAGCACTAAAGCAGCGGAAAATTTTAGCGATAAGTTAGCAATAAATTATCGATGATTTTTTTTAGCAATTAATTAGCCATTAAGTAGCGGTTTAGAATACATGAAAATTTTTCCACCGCTCCGCTTACCTCAGCCGTTTTTACTATCAAATTATAGCAATAATTTTAAATTTTAATTTTTAAAAATTGAGTCGTGCATGAAATTAATATAACCGATTATTGTCCCAAGTCATTTTAGAACAACTTGGTAGCGCGGGATAACTCACGATGTGTAAAATAAAAAACGAGTAGGTTAGACACACTCGGGAAAGGATATGATAGTGGTGTGCACACCCGGGTGTGGGCCCTTGCAGATCAAGGGACTTAAAGCCCGAGCGCGCAAAAGAGTGGTATTGATCTGAGTAAAAAAAAATATCCCGAGCATATAAATGTTCAGAAAAATATACAGTCGGAACGAAAAACTGCTCGTATCAGGGCAAAGCCTTGAAAGTTCCGGCTGCCCATTAACTCGTCTCCAATAGTTTTTGATAAATGAAAAATTGACAAACTAGGATATTTAGATTAATAACATGAAATTTCAATTATTAAAACGTGAGTCCTGTATGGAATCAATAAAACCAAATAGCTTGCCTCAAATCAAATTGGAACAGTTTTATGGTGTGGGATGATTCGCAACGCTTAAATAATGCGCGGTAAGTTTTCAGCATCACAGCAAGCAAGGTTTTTTTTACTGGTGTGTGAACTCGACGGGGACCATGAAGATCCAGAGATCAATCTCCCGAGAGATAAGTTCATTTAAAATTTGGTCTGAATAAAAAAAACGGTACATATACAAAACAGTCCGATACAAAACAGTCCAATACAAAATATTCCAAAAAATCATGTAAAAAAGGAAAAATCAGTCCGATACAAAACAGGCCGGTTTCAGGTCGCCAGTGGGCGCGCGCGCGTATCGCCGCTTTGCGGCAATAACCGGCTGCAAGTTTTGTATTAAGTCCTACCTTCTGCTGGCAAGCTCGCAACCTGTTGGCGCGGTTGAGGCGTCACTATTTTGTTGTTTATGTTTGTTGAACAAAGGACAATTCTCGGCCTCCCGGCTTGTTAAAACAATTATAACTTGGGTCTTTTTTCCGGACTGTTTTGTTTTGGACTGTTTTGTATGGGACTGTTTTGTAGAGACACGACAAAAAACACCCGAGAATTTTTATTTCTCAATTTTTTCATGGAATGATTGCGAGCTCCACGTCAATGTTTTGAACAACGATGTCACGGAATCCGCAAAAGTCGAAATTACACAGTTGGGCATCTTGAGAATTCAAATTTATAGAAATGGCCATAAGCTTAGTGGTACTAAGCTGCTGAACTTTTTAATGGTACGAGTTGAGACTGATCGCTGATGTTGGAGATTGTCTGAATTTGAGAAAAAAGAACAACGAGAAAAAGGGAGAAGAAATCCATATGACTATAATTTACTATTTCAAGTTTATTGGATTAATTGAGAAGATCCAGAATGCTCTTGAGGGGAGGAGGTTTTATAATTTCAAATATGCGTGTTTGACATTTTGGAAGAAATTCTGAGACAAAAAGAACGGTTGCCCCCCCCCCCCTTTTTTGGCATGCTAATGTTAAGGTTGCATACCTTCGCTTCCCCGACTTCGCAATGCAGAGGTTCATTCAAGTTAGTGCCCAGAAACCCGGTCAGAAATCTCTCGTAGCCAACGAGGAAGTTTGAAATTGTACTTTTCCCGTTCCCACTTTTGCCACACACCAGAATGTTCAAATCGAACACACTCATTGAACTCTCGGAATGCTGCGAGTCGTTTGCGAACGAGGACGCACCCGAGAACGCCGGCGAAGCGGCATTGTTGCGACCGGGGTTGAATGCCCAGTAACTCAACGAACCCGATTCGGCGTCTCGTTCGCTCTGAGTCGACTGGAAGTCGTCTGCTTCCGCGTCCGCCTCAACACTCGTCTCGCTCTCTTGTGTTATGACGTCATCTTGCTCTCGTTCAACTTCGGCTTCTACAAGACTGCTTTTTGCAGCCTCATATTTTTCGTCCTTGACCGACATCTCAATATAATATTTAGGCCAAATAATGATTTAACTTATAACAAAAGACAGAAAATTTTCTAAACTGTTCCCTAATAGAACTTCGAAGAGCCTTGTTGAGAAAGAAAAACTCTTAGTAGGCGCTAAGGTCTCTTAAATTAGAAATTTTGCGGATGATTGAATTTAATATATTTTTCAATTTCAAAGGACGAACCACAATGAATTGTGAAATGTAATTCAATTTAAAAAATTTTATGGCATTCGAAAAGGTTGTGCTATTTGGTCGATTAGATAGTTGAGCTACACATTGCTATACAAAAGTTTTAGCAAGCAAAGTGAAAGATTCAGAACAAAAATGTACACTTCATTAAGGCAAGTCCAGCCAACCCTTTCATAATTTTACATGGATGAAGTTGGTTATTGCCGTCACTACCGGACTTGGGGGAGGAGGAAGGGGGGAGGGGGGGTCCCGAGCTAGCTCTATCTCTCTCTCACTCTCACTCTCTCTCTCTCTCTCTGTGTGTGTGTGTGTGTGTGTGTGTGTGTGTGTGTGTGTCACGCACACACATATACACACACATCACCCAAGGGGTCCCTCCTTGGTACTGTTCTACGATATGTATTTTCAATTAACTTATTGAGTATTTTTTGAAGTATTTTCCTATATAGCGATTATTGAGCGGATGCGATGAAAAACTGACTACTTATGGACATTGCCGTGAATGAATTAGTGGGTTGAAAACCCTTCATTAAAAATTGGTAAATTATGATTTGTTAATTTATATTATTTTTCATTACATTTTTGCATTCTCATTACTTAATGTCGAATTAATAATGTGAGAGCGATCTTGTTGAGTCTCAGTTGTCGAATGAACCAGTTGCCTGTTTGCCTTTTCATTTGACTATTTCACCGTGGCTTTTTTGGTTCCACTCTTTCACCCAGTCTTCATACTCCGCCAGAACTTCATTCTTAGTTCCGCCACCGGAGTCCGTCGCCTGTCCGGGAAGATTTGGCGGACCCCTGCTCACTTTCCTCTTACTCCAGGGGTTTCGTTCTCGGTCTATGTCGCTGGCTGAACTGTTCGGGTTGTCGCTCTCGTGTTGTCGTGAGTCGACTGCGTCTTGCAGTTGAAAGGCGGCGTTCACCCTGCGACTGCATAGTTTTCGGGTGTCCGCGGCTTTCACGCGGCTAGCCATGCTCACAAGGGGCTCGTTATCATCCACATCCGGCGAATTCTAAAAAGGAAAACCATTCTTACAAAAAAAAGATGTCTTTCCCTCAGGACTCGACCCCCTGCCGACCCAAAGGGTCCCCTTTTTGTACTATTTTGAGATATCCATTTTTGGCTGACTGACCCTAAAGTTTTTCTAAGAGCGCCTTATATACTAATCTGAGGGAGGAGCGCGCACCAAAAAAACGCAATTTTTGGTCAACATTTTCCAAAAAGTGCCTAAAAAAGCCTTTTTTGGCCAGTTTTTTCAAAAAGATGCCTGCGGCCAGTAGCGGATTTAGGGTGGGCGGGGGGTACGCGTTTTTCCTTTTAGGAATTCGAGCCCTGCCGACCACAAGGGTCCCCCTTTGTACTATTTTGAGATATCCATTTTTGGCTGATTGACCTTAACACTTCTTTAACCAATCTATACAAATTTTGAGGGGGAAGTTGCATGTAAAATGCTCTATTCTGATTGGCTGAAATTTTGAACTCAGAACCAAGTTAACATCCTCCCCCCTAAATGGATTTGGGGGGAGGATGTTAACTTGGTCCAACTCCTTTTATTTCTTTAATGTGCGATAAGGGCGCGTGAGATAATGTTATATCAATTCGTTCTTAAGCAACATGATTATTTACAGAAAACAAATTTTGAATGAACTTGTTTATCTTTTCAATAAACATAAGATGATTCTAACTCGTCTGGAGCTGGTAGTATTGAGTGAGCCTGGACTCGGGATCTGTCTGGACCCTCTGCCCGATTTCGACCTGGGTCCGTGAGACCTTGACCTTCTGGACACCCCTGAAGTCTGTCTGTCGTTTTTGGCCTCAATATGTTCCAGAAGGGCATTCATCTTGTCCTGCTCTGATTGGAACAGGTGTTGTTTCCACTGGGCGTCTTCCAGGTCCCCGCCCTTCATCATCTTCCGCAGGATGGACCACTCCTCGAAGCGCTGCGCTTCCAGATCTTGCACTTCTTCGAGCCAGATGTTGTACCTAGATTATACTCACATATTCAATCAAAATAAGCACTTTAGGAATTCTGACTGGATTCCTAATTTAATTGGAATAAAATGAAACCTGAGAATTGAACGGAAGCAAAAGCTCAAAAATCTTCAGATGCGGGTTTTTGTGTACAGACAGAGCGTTGATATTTTACCTTTCAAAACCTGTTTGTGTTCGATCTCTCCTAAGTTTTTTGTTACCTGACCATAGTTTTTACTCAAACTGTTTAGGTATCAGATGGAGACGATTAAAAGGAGCAGTACTTGAGAGCAATCTTTGTCATCATCCTCCTCTTCCGCTTCTCCTCTCTCTTCCTCTCCTGGTCCTCCACCAACTTCCTTTTGTTCGCCAGTCTCTCTATGTTCCTCGTCACCTTCTTGATCTTGTTGAATGCCCACAGAGCACTTAACACGTTGCTGCTCCGCTCCAAAATACCTGCAGATGGTGAGCGGAGAAAAAATTGTAAATGATAAGCCTGCTGAAAATTACTTATAGAAAATTGCAAAGGATTTATGGTTTTTGTCGAGTTTCTCTACCGCTAAGACATATCGGTAGAAAATTTTTAACGCCACCTCCAAAACGGTATAACAGCTCAGCTAAAACAATTTAAGCCTCAATTTCTTGATTACTCTTGATTGTTGCGACCAACTAGGTTGTGTTTTGTAAGTGAAAAAGTTTTACTTCTTCAGCGAAATCATGTGCCACAAATAAAGTGGGATCAAGTGACCGATAATGGCTGAGCTGAGCTGAGTCGACAAAAGTCGAGCAAAGTTTTTATTCGGTTGAGAAAGACGAAACAGACGAAAATTTGATTAAGGAAGCTTGAAATTTAGACGAGTACAACAAACAGCCCATCACGATTAGTTAATTTTGACTTCAAAAAGAATGAATGACTAACTCTTGATAAGTTTGTACTCTGGCGATCCCTCCTTGTACTTTTCCAGATAAATCTGGGCCTTGGTGTTGACCAGTTTCTTGCTCAACCTGCCCCACGTCAGCCAGGCCCTCTCCAACATCAACAGTGTGTTAGCCACAATTGCAAATGCATCCCAAACAGTCACCCCGATGAACTTGTTATTCGTGATCACATAGCCTAAAATGAATCCCAAATGGTCACTCTGGTGAACTTGATATTAATAATCACATATCCTTAAATGCATCCCAAATGGTCACTCTGATGAATTTTTGTTATTATTAATCACATTGCCTTAAATGCATCACACATCGTCACTCCAATGAAGTTCATGTTATTATTAATCACATAGCCTTAAATGCATCCCAAATGGTCACTCTGATGAAATTGTGGTAATAATCACATAGCCTTAAATGTATCCCAAATTGTCACTCTGATGAACGTTTGTTATTATTAATAACCTTGCCTTAAATGCATCCCACATCGTCACTCCAATGAACTTCTTGTTATTGAAAATCGCATAGCCTTAAATACATCCCAAACGGTCACTCTGATCAGGGGCGGATTTAGGGGGGGCGGACGCCCCCCCCCCCCCTTCAGGGATTCGACCCCCTGCCGACCCAAAGGGTCCCCCCTTTGATACTTTTTCAGAAATCCATTTTTGGCCGACCGACCCTAAAATTTTTGTAAAGGCGCATTGGGCGCCAATATATACTAACTTTGAGGGGGAGCGCGCGCCAAAAAAAAACGCGATTTTTTTGTCAAAATTTTTCAAAAATTGCCCAAAAACGGCTTTTTTGACTGTTTTTTCAAAAATTTGCCTGCGGCGTAGAAAATTTAGCCAAAGTAGGGGCAAAACAGTGCTTTGGGAGAGCTCGAAAAATCAATTTGGTCGACCTAAAAAAAAGGTCGGTAAAATTTTGGAAAATTTTTTGAAAATCCGCCCCCCCCCCCCCTCGAGAAAATCCTAGATCCGCCCCTGACTCTGATGAACTTGATATTAATAATCACATAGCCTTAAATTCATCCGAAAACGTCACTCCAATGAACATTTTGTTGTTAATTATCGTTTAACCTTATACGCATTACCAAATGGTCACTCTGATGAACTTGTTCACATAATCACTTTGCCTTAAGTACATCCCACATCTTCACTCAAATGAACTTTTTGTCAATAATAATCACGTAGCCTTAAAAACACCTCAAAACGTCACTCCAATGAACTTCTTGTTATTAATAATCACATAGCCTTAAATGCATCCCAAAAGGTCACTCTGATGAACTTGGTATTAATAATCACATAGCCTTAATTTCATCCCAAATGGTAACTCCAATGAACTTCTTGTTATTAATAATCTTATAGCCTTAAATGCATCCCAAATGGTCACTCTGATGAACTTCTTGTTATTAATAATCACATAGCCTTAAATGCATCCCAAAACGTCACTCCAATGAACTTTTTGTTGTTAATTATCATTTAACCTTAAACGCATTACCAAATGGTCACTCTGATGAACTTGTTCATATTAATCACTTTGCCTTAAGTACATCCCACATCTTCACACAAATGACTTTTTTGTCAATAATAATCACATAGCCTTAAATGCATCTCAATTGGTCACTCTGATTAACTTGATATTAATAATCACATAGCCTTAAAAACACCTCAAAACGTCACTCCAATGAACTTCTTGTTATTAATAATCACATAGCCTTAAATGCATCCCAAATGGTCACTCTGATGAACTTGGTATTAATACTCACATAGCCTTAATTTCATCCCAAAACGTCATTCCAATGAACTTCTTGTTATTAATAATCACATAGCTTTAAATGCATCTCAAATGGTCACTCTGATGAACTTGGTATTAATCATCCCATAGCCTTAATTGCATCCCAAATGGTAACTCCAATGAACTTCTTGTTATTAATGATCACATAGCCTTAAATGCATTCCAAATGGTAACTCCAATGAACTTCTTGTTATTGCTAATCACATAGCCTTAAATGCATCCCAAATGGTCACACTGATGAATTTTGGTTATTATTATTAATCACATTGCTTTGAATGCATCCCACATCGTCAATCCAATGAACTTCTTTTTACTAATAATCACATAGCCTTAAATGCATCCCAAAACGTCACTCTAATGAATTTTTTGTTATTAATAATTATTTAATCTTAAATGCATTCCTAAATGGTCATTCTGATGAACTTATTAATTTTAATCACATTGCCTTAAATACCTCGCACATCTTCACTCAAATGAACTTTTTGTTTTTAACTATCACATAGCCTTAAGTGTGTCCCAAATGATCACTCTGATTAACTTGATATTAATAATCTAATATCCTTAAATGCACGCCAAATCGTCACTCCAATGAACATCTTTTTATTAAAAATCACATTTTAAATGTATCTTAAATGTTCACTCTGATGAAATTTTTTTAAATAACCACATAGCTTTAGATGCATCCCAAATTGTCACCCCAATGATTTTCTTGTTAATAATTATCACATTGCCTTAAATGCATCCCAAATGGTCACTCCAATGAACTTATGGTTATTAATAATCACATAGCCTTAAATGCATCCCAAATGGTCACTTTGATGAACTTGATATTAATAATCACGTATATTTAAGTGCATGCCAAATCGTCACTCCAATGAACATCTTGTTATTAAAAATCACATTTTAAATGCATCTTAAATGTTCACCCTAAGAAAATTTTTTTAAATAATCACATAGCTTTAGTTGCGTCCCAAATTGTCAGCGCAATGAGTTTTTGTTATCAATAATCACAAAGCCTTAAATGCATCCCAAATGGTAACTCTGATGAACTTTTGTTATTACTAATCACATTGCCTTGAATGCGTCCCACATCGTCACTCTAATGAACTTCTTGTTTTTGATAATCACATAGACATAAATGCATCCCTTAACGTCACTCCAATGAACTTTTTCTTGTTAATTATCACTTAACTTTAAATTCATTCCCAAATGTTCCTTCTGATGAACTTGTTAATATTAATCACACCGCTTTAAATACATCTCACATCTTCACTCATATGAATTGTTTGTTATCAATAATCACATAGCCTTAGATGGGTCTCAAATGGTCACTCTAATTAACTTGATATTAATAATCACATAGCCTTAAATGCATCCCAAAACGTCACTCCAAAGAACTTCTTGTTATTAATAATCACATAGCCCTAAACGCTCCCCAAATGGTCACTCTGATGAACTTGATATTAATAATCACATATCCTTAAAAGCATGCCAAATTGTCACTCCAATGAACATCTTGTTATTAAAAATCACATAGCTTTAAATCCATCCCAAATGGTAACTTTTATTAATTTTTTATAAATCATCATTTTACTAAACGAAGCGCTGGTTTCGATTGATAGAGCCCTCTATTTCAATTACTAGGTAAAAGGTACTAGAAAAAAACCGGGGAAATATACCTTTTCTAACTTCTTTGATATACTTTTGTATCAATATGATTGGTATTATCTGTGTATCCGATAAATAGGAAAGATAATTTTTTTACCGTTTGATTAGCCATAGCTTACAGAATTTTCTGCTGTTGTTTTTCCTTGTTTCCTTTTGAAAAGATTTTGTAAACAGTAATTCAGTGTGGTCCATAAACAAGTAATAGAAATTTAGTGTGGTCCAGAAACAACTATTAGAAATTAGGTAGAAAGATACAAAACTGTGTAAAAGAAACGTTAAAAAAATGAAATCTGCTGCGGAAAAGTTTTGTTCCAAGGGTCGGAAAAATCATATTCGATTTTGCAGATTCGGCAATATATTGCTGATTGCGGTAAGCATTTGCTGCAAATTTTTCGATTCGGATGATTATCCATTACATGTCGATAACCTGTAATATCAGTGGTTTGGGGATCACCTTGTCTACTTTTTGTCATTTCGTCGCAAATATCGCACGAGGGGTAATAAGAGAAGGACAACGTGTAGACTAGTGTACGACAAACGGGACAGAAAAATTTGTCCATTTTGGGCTAAAGTATCCTTCATTAATTCATCACAATCTGTGTAAACAAGATGGGGAAGATGATTTGGCAGGTTTTTATGTTGCTTTTTGAAAGCCAATTTTGGTTCATAACATATTGGGCATGTATGTTGAGGATTAATTATATCAATTTTACCAAAAACATTGAAAAATTGATTGAAGTAAATCATAAAAAAGAGACAATGCCAATTTGATGATTTCGTCGACAAATGAGGGTGTCATTCTCGAAAGAAGTGTAAAAAGGGATTTTTTGTTTTTCGCATTTTTTGTTTTAGATAAAATCATTTCACTGATGGCAATATAGTTTTTGCCAACCTATCACATGGACAACTTGTCGACCTAGTGGACACGGGAATTTTTCCAACCAAAATTTTGTTTGGGAATTTAGTTTAAGGAAACAGTGGATGCACATTTGTGAAAAGGCTGATTTTGGTCTGGTTCATGAGGAATTCTCATTTGCAATTTAGTTTTCTGCTCAAAAGCAGATAGGACAGTCGGAAGTCATTCTTATACTTTGCAATCTTTATTTAACGGCGGGAGTTTTTGTTATCATGTATTTAATTTGATTGGTGTTTCATCTACATTGAGGATACTATCGAAAAAATCATATTTTTTTTGTTATGTGAAATAAAACTTTTCCTTTTTTCGCCTGTTATATGGTCGGAATAATAAATAACAATTTGTGGATAAAGGTAAGGTCTGTTTCGTCTTCTACATTTATGAGTTCATCGATTTGAACAAGTCGCTTGTTCATGTGAAACAGCATATTTGTAAATACAAAAGTTATGCCCATATGTTACTAAATTGAACTTGTGTATGACAAATTGGGCATATTTTTTTTGCAATTTTTATGCACGTATGGCATATACTGATGTAAAGATGTCGAAAAATTATATGTTACTCTTTTCTTTCATTAATGGTAAGCATTAGTTTTCCGCAAATATTAAAGATATCATCGTAATCTGTTAAATTGATTATGTGAATTAATTGCCTACAAATAGAGCACGGGACTTTCGAAAATGGGGAATTTGCTCTAAATTTCAGCTTCTTATAACAATAAGTACAAATTAGACGAGGAGGCTGGGGAGGAAGGTTTTTATGGAGTTTTTCATTGCATTACATGTCTCCAAACAAAAAGGGCA